GAGACTGTGCATCACTACAGCGTTAGGAAAGATGGCCTACTGTAATGTCCTCATGGCCGCCTTTCAGGAAAACATCCAGAGTGGTTCAATAGTTTAAACATTTTAAACCGCCACCATTTTATAATCACCACAGTTCTGACATTAAAAGAATACCAACTTAGATACAGGTCCCACACCAGAACAAAATCGCATTCAGCGGATCCCTGCTGTAACGAAATAGCTTGGAGAATGAGTTGCACGTTACTCTTCGAATTCCAAACTAATTACGTACCGATATATGGTACCGGAAGCTCTCTCACCGGGGAAAAACCGGTCTGAGCGTGGATCTGGCCGCTCACCTCAACTTCCACCTCCTCCCTACACATGTGACCACAGCGCCGTGCTTCCGGACACTGACATCTTCATCTCACAAGTACTGTCCACCAGGCGTGATACGTTTGGAACGGCATTTGCGACCCCCGTGTATCCGCACAAACTGTTCAGCTTTACTCGGCAATAGAAATCAATTCAGCAAAACGTCCCCCATCTGCCTTGCTATGGGCTGATCCCATCTCCCAAGGCGCTGCCAGATATCTATGAAGGGTTTAATGCTTCAGACTACAACCGCAATCAGGTGCAGGTCGAAGAGTCTATCCGTGAGAGACGAAGAACAATGATTCAAAAGACAGGAGTCTTTCCACAGAACTAAAACGCTTGAGAGGAAATGTAAGATATAAACTTCGTAACAAATTTTGAGACAGGAGTTAGTGTCACTCACAATATCAAAATGCCAACAGCAGCGGTAGCGATGCTCCGAGTATGAAGAACTTTTCATTTTGCTGGGACTGGGCCATTAAAAATGTCAAGAAAATAACGTGTACAAAACACCCTCTCTGCTGTAGGCGGAGAACGGAAAGCAACTCCCCAGAGATAAGAGGGAAATATATGCAGATCAAATATACATAACACTTTAAAGCTGATATTAAATGCCAAAATGGAGAGCAAGCAGTGCTGTCAAACAGGTTTAAGAGGAGTTTCTATTCGCGCAACAATCCTTCACAATTTACCAACATCCTATATCGACCACCCGAAATAATATACAACTGCAACACCTCCAGAGAATTACTTTCAAGCGAATTCCACCTTAACTGACGTTTTGTTAAGTGCATAAGCTAAGATGTGTTCATGAATGTACGACCGGTAATAAAGAATTTGAAAGATGTGAAAAGAATGGGTCGCGCTCTATTCTATGGTAATTTACCTGGAGAAACACGAGAAAACAATGGAAGACCGTAGGATAGCGAATCCGGGATAAAGTTTCGATGAGACAATCCCCAGTGGAATCTGAAGAAACACAAATCTGGCCATATGTTGCACAAATCGATAACACACTTAAGCCTCAAATTCTTAAATAATATTTAAACAATTAGTTTCCACCTAATAGAAAACACTTCAATCCATTACAAACACCAGGTGGTTAGGGGAATAACTGTTTGCGAACCATACGAAACATACAATAGCACTACGTGCACAAAAACGTGGAATGTTTTAATGTCACAGCAACCGGCACATGCAGGAAGCACTGTTCTTAATTAAAGGATTTACAATTCTTATATAAAAATCAAAGTATAAAGTACCGGTAAAGAAAATGTTGCAGTATCTGAATGGTGGTATATTCAGCATTGAAGATTTGCAAGTTCGTTGGTTTCCACTGTCTCCTTGACATATTTAACATGACTGCTCCACTGATACACTGTATTTTGGAAAACAATGACCTGCGATCCGATTACTGTGATCAAAATAAAATTTATGGACGAATGACAGGGCACTACGGCAGTAACTGTATCAGCAAGAGAAAAGTTTATGAATGGATGTATGCATTCAAAGGAGAGGTGGGGGAACAAGTGTTATTTCAACACACTATGGGCGGTGATTGTAATATGTTGAGATTAAAGAGCAAATCGATCAGTGTACCAGCACATATGCACTGATGAAACTGCACGTGAAAGAGTGTCAGCCATGATATGATGCGGCGCAACCGAAAACATTTTATTCTGATGTAATCAGAGAACATTTAAATCATCGGAATTTAAAATCTGGAAGACTGTTTACAAAAATTGGATATGTAAAACTATTGTGACATTCACAATTGAGGTTCTCACAGGGTTGACTATGAACAGCACCATCTTCTGACACCCGAGGCACTGTAATCTGCTAGACGCTTACTGACGTTCCGGGAACGAACTGCTTTCATGTTCATGGTTTAAGAAGAAGCCAAGCACGTTGCCGCTGCCTTGGTTTACTCTTCAATCATGGGAGTTGGGCGTTGCTCCCAAACATCGGTACACATCTACCAGGCTACGCGAGTCACATCCCAGAAGCTAGTATTCTTCTGCTGTGGCACTATGTTGTTCTACTTGTGTGTACAATTGCATTTAAAGTCCAACATGACGTAATGTAACAAATTAATCCATTAGAACTCACGACAGTTCTCTTATACTATAACATAACATACGAGTTTCTGTCACCAATCTGCAGTACAAATCGTACAGTTTACATCAATCTTATATTACATTTCATCCCAGTCAAGCCCTCAAATTACTTAATACTTTCGTGTTATAATACCACCTATCATAAAATATGTATAGCTTATTACGTCGGTTAATTTCTCCTACTCAGGTAGTCTTCCATGTACTGACTGTGTTACAGCAACTATCATACTTGGTATCAATACTAACGGAAAACTTTCGCTTTGATAATGATTCAAAGTATGGGTGTGCACGGGCGGAAGACATAATACGAACATTTGAATTGTGACGGCGCTTCTATGGTGAGTACACAAAATATTACACGCAACTTTTGATTAGGCCTGTTACCTTCGAAAACGTGTAGCGAAATTTTAGAATATGGCAGTGGGAATACAAGAGGAAGACTGAGTATACTATTTGTATATGGCATAAAATAACTTGTAAATACGAATGTATTTCAGACAAATGTTCCCTAACACGCTGGAACAAAAATTACTAAGTTATAACAAATTCAAACATTCTCTACAGCCCTACGCCCTGAACAGAATGGTATAACGGTAAGACTCTAGGCTTATTTTCAGAAGCTTCTCGGTTCGAATCTCGGCTAGCACACCGGTTATCCTGACTGATGAATTTCGTGCTTTTCCTCGCCCTCCAAGCAAATACCAGGGTACTGTCTTAATCAGATCACAGCCGTTTCCTCATAAATCCTTTCCCGTTCATCTATCATCCTACCATGCGACGCTATATAGTGTGCAATACTGTAAGCGGCGTAAAAGAACTCAGAAGAATGCTCAGTACCATACAAGTGCCCAGAAGGCCTATGTACACTGAAATTACTCGGTAAAGAAAAAAAAATGGCATTCCATCTCACTCCTCAAAACGGATAGTTTCTTCGAAGTAGTAAGGATGATGACCTTGAAATGAACACCTTTCGTGTTTCGTAATCAAAATACACGGCGAAATCGAAACGGGAATTTCAGATGTATTCTCTAACAATTGGTACAATTAAAGAAAGTAATTTATGAGCTATTAGACTAAACTCACAAGCAGTGTACCTGCGATACAAACACAGCTCTCTGGAGCAGGGTAATCCCTGAGAAGTTTATATCTATAGCCACCCGACATTATGAGGAACTGAATCTATGCCCTTAAAGGAACAAGAATTTCGTCACAGTGTAACAATGCCACAATATTTTATCATGAGCTAATTCAATCCAGTCCCAATTTCACATACTTTCTTCGGAGATACATTGATATTATGTTCCCACTCGCACTTCGGTCCCTACCGACCTTAAGTAAATATAATTTCCTCGCCACTTTCTCTGAAACACCTTCATTCACTGTTCTTACATCAAGATCAAGTTTCGCACTAAAAAAATTGCAAATAAAATCCTGGCCTCTTCTGGCGCTATGTGAGTGGAGAGACAAGACATACATGCAGCTTTTCAAAAATCGTCTTCTCGCAAGTGTGAATACCAAACATGCACACGCCCACTACGAACTAGAGAACCGAAATGTCGGTTAACACCACATCTACACGGTGCGACATCCCAGAAGACTGCTTTCATCATAGAGAACATCTGTTTTCCGCAATTAAAACAGCTTCTGTATACTACAGATGATAGACTGTGCTTTAAAGTTATGTCGAAGCTTAGTGCAACCAAAAAGAAAAAAAAAAGGGGATACTCAACACTGATTTATGACAAACCTACAAAATGGTTGTGTTAAAGTTACATACACATCGCCCAGAAAGAACTCACTATACCAATGTGCTCGTGATGCAATGTGCAACATTAAAATTTAACGGCTAAATTATTCTTCAAGTAAGCATAGAAGAAATTTCGAACTTGATGGTTGTGTAAAATAACAGTTCCTTCTTCTGTGCCTACGTTGGTTCGCCACTAAACCTTTCACAAGTTAACACTTTTTAACACCGCTAGTCTCCTTGAGTCGATGCTTCTAGAGGAAAAATATCATTTGAATTTCTTATTAGCATAATTTATATTCATTTCTTGACCAATTCATGTGTAAAATAAAAAATTTACATTTCTTCTTTATATCACTTTCATTTCCACACTGTGCATGACTTATATACTCTAGGTATACTGATTATACTGCATACATACAGTACAAATTACATCTAGAAACAATTATGAAACGTGTACCTAATAGGCATATCCAAAACTAACTGTATGCAAGAATGTGTACATAACAATTAGTTTCGACCAACCTTATCGCCGTCTTTGAGCCGATTGTCTAGATAGTGTGGGATCCTCAACATCTTACAGGGATAGCTTTACTTTTACTTTTACTTTTACGTCGTTTCCAAATCCACAAGCTCAACAGACATCAACTGAGTCCGAAATGGTACAATTTTGAGGGATACGATAGTAGTGACCCATAATACATCAGCCACAAATGGGCTGAAGAAACTCACGCCAAACTTTAGCAAGGAAAAGCAGCAGTTACATCTTCAAATTTATGACTTACCAATTGTTGCTTATCGAATGATGAATCAGACTGCAGCTCTGAAAAAGAAAAGAAGAGAACTTAAATTAGAGAAATTGTAAAATGTCCTCGTTGTTATAAGCAGCTCAGAACACCAAATGACATATATTTTCGTCTCATGTTTCTTTATATTTAAATTGAAATAAAAACACCAATATCACAAGAACTCAATACAGATTACTGTATTATTTTCTTTTCTTTTATACTTATCGATTAGAAAGACTCAACAGTATATGTAACTATACACTGAGATGAGGAGTTGCTTGGCGATCGGCGCGTTTGAAAATTTAATTCTCGTCATCACGCACATGAACAGGTTCAATTAGCAGATCAATATGGGCCGCATCATAGCTCAAGCGGTTAGTCGCTGCCTTCCCACCGCGGCTGCCCGGGTTCGATCACGGGTCTAGTCAAGTGGGATTTGTGCTGGACAAAGTGGTGCTGGGGCGGGTGTTCTCCGAGTACTTCGGTTTCCCCTGCCAATCTTCATTCCACCAACTGCTCCACAATCACCCTCATCTATCATCTGGGAGCTGGTACAATATTCCAGAAGTGGCCGCAGTACAAGGTACTTAGTCCAACCCCACTCCAAAAAAACAAACTCTGTGACTTTTAGTCCGCATGCGAACTCCACCGAGCGACCGCCGCTTGTCGACGAAGTTAGTGCCAACTTTAGCGGATAGAGGTTGTCGCGTGGTCAGCGCAACGAATCCCCACGGCCGTTAATTTCGGTTTTCTAGACCGGTGCGGATATTTCCTTGAAAAAGCTCCTCAGTTATCATCACGAGGCTGAGTGGACCCCGTTCCAGACCCACTACTTCTCAGAAAAAAATCTGGTACCGCCGGGAATCGAACCCAGACCTCTGGATCTGCAGCCAGGAACTCCGACCGATAGACCACAGAGGCGGTCCAGTCCCACTCCAATAGCAATTAAAAATTCCTTCCATAGGTGCAGCGCCATATTGTACGTATTGATCTGTTTCTTTTTATTGCTACTGGTCCAGTCCCACCACACTAGCAATAAAAAAACAGATCAATATGTACAATATGGCGCTGCACCTATGGAAGGAAGAAGCCAAGATATATGAATATTATAAAACGTTAGGGCATCATAACTTCACTATACAGTTATAGCTTAAAAATATGTTTAAAGGAAATGTTCCAGTATCATAAATCACACCATCACCGAAGGTTGGGTTCACACTGCTGCTTCGCACATATGGGCAGTTAGAGTCTACGGCCGGAGACCAAAAACCAGATTTCAAGATTTCTCATGGCATTCACCAGCCACGGTTCCCACAAAAATGCTGTCGTCTAATGTCATAAAATAGATCACGGCTACATTAAAAAGCTTACCAAAAGCCCGTCAAATTATAACATAAGAAAATATGTATTTAGTTTAAGTTCATTCGTGACCCGACATGTTTCGATATTCAGTGTCATCTCATGGGTATCCGTTCAACAAATACACTGGCAAAACGGCTGTTTCCGTCAAAATTCTTACCTCGGCATTCTCAGTTGCCAATAACAGAACGACAGGAGTGGTACGGATAAGGAGGGAGGTGTTTCTGCACATCTCTGCATTGCTGCAAATCATCAATTATTTTCACTTACGTATAACTAGAATATATAAAACTATAATTTTCTCCATGATCCACTCTGACCGTCCCACAGTGCATACATTTATTCACCCTACTCTTCTCTCTTGCACTACATGTCTCAGCACCAAAGTGCCATCTTCAGGTGCTTTTCGATGCACGTCGAACTACTTCATTGCATGCCCTGTTGTCTTTATACTAAAATAACTAAAATATATATTCGTCATATATACTGATAAATTTTAAATATTAAAAATATTAAAACTGTTCAGGATTTGTCATCCTTATGTCATATCTCAATACGCGAGACACACCTATCTTCTTCTATCGGAGTATTCTTCCTACTTTCATGTGTGTATTGTGTGCTGTGTCTTGCTCCTGTGACTGTGTGTGTTATACTGCTGGGCCTGCTGGGTGTGTGTCGTATATCAAACGATGAAAACATCAGAACGTGCACGTCGCATCGAAGAAACTCTGGAAAGTGCGTGATATACGTGTGAATTTCAGTTGTTTTGTTATTCGTACATTACTTATGAATAGAAAATGAAAATACGCGACGAACTAATGAAAGAAAGAAAAGAGAAACTCATTTGAAATTGTCAACGATTAGGGTAGGGAACAAGAAGGGAAAAAACTATTTAATTTACAGTGTAAGGTCGAAAAAGATTGGAGAGCTGCATCTATAGAGCCTTATACCATAAATCAAATTTCATTGTTTTCTTCAAGATTATTTAAGTCTCAAGTAAAAGGACAAAAGTTAATTTACAAGGTGTGACATGTCTCTGATTCGACTGAGGGTTTCCGTATTGAGCCAATTTCCCTCAAAATCCAACATAGCGTCTAGTAGACACATTGCAGGTTGGAATATCTGACGAATAAAAATAAACCGTGAAAACGGGCAGGGCCGAATTTATGCATAACAGCGCCGGACCTCTCAAAACGAGCCAGCAGACTTCCGAGTGCACAGGACGTGAAACAAATGCGTCTTTCAAAAATACATCATCGATCTCAACTGACAGCTCGTTCGGTTTTAGCGCCAAAGAAAACTGTCTTCAGTCATAGTATAAGAGACTCCTCTATCTCAGGAACTTCAGCAGTGTTGGACAAGAAATAAATTCGACGCGATCCTTAACCAATACAAGTGTGTGGAACGAGTAACAAGGAAACTGGGAGTTTTAAATTCACACATAAACCTCCATCGCTAGAACTTTCCAGAGACATACAAGAAACAAAGGATAAAATACAGGCCAACATGAACTGATGAGGCATAAATAAAGACGAAAATTCTTTGACGGTCACCTCTTGGAACTTGCTCACAATGCATTCCGACCTTCAACCTACATGCCGCCACTGATACTATTAAAATGTTAAAAGTATGGAATTCTTCTCGTCCAAATTATGAATATTAATAACACTGTCCAAACAGAAAAATCTAAATTGGAATCTGAAGAGGAATTATTCTCGATCGTGGTGGTTTGGTGGATATATTTAACGTCTCTAGATTCCTGTACTCAAACATATGCCGTTTCTGCTACCACCAAAACAAGTTTTTGTTACTACGGTTAGGTGAAAACTGCCACCGCAGTCCAAACTCCGGCTTGGTGGTTGGGATGGAAGCTGGCACACAAATAAATGCTAACGTAACAAACTGAAGTCAGACGTAGCAATCACTGTGAGATGACTTACTGTGGGGAAAGCCTCATACTATTACGTTCAGAATCTTCTTTTTGTCCTTATGGCTTCTACCTAAAAACCTAACATTAAAATATATAAAAGCACGTTTTTAAGCAATCTTAATACGGGTGTAAAACTTGGTCAATCTCTCAAGGAGAGGGAGATGGAATGAGTGACTTCACAGAAAAGTGCTGAGAATATATGAACGTACGGAAAAGAAAGTAATAGAAGGACTGAGAAAACTGAATGCGATGTTATATAGTCTCGCCACTTACATCTAACTAACATTTAACTAACGTTAAATAACCTACGAAAAACAAGGAAGAGAAAATATGGAAAAGGAGACGAAAAATGCAGAGAAAATGTCAGTCGGTATACCTGAAGGGAAGAGACCATTTGGGAGAGGCAGATGTATGGAGCGGATGGTATTAAAATGGATCTTAAAGAAACGAGACGTGAAGGTGCACAATGCATTTAACTGGCTCATTACAAGGTCCAGTGGAGGGATGCTGTGAGAGCGATAATAAATCTCGGTATTCCAATAATGTAATGTATGTAAGGGATGGGCCATAAAAATCGGACCCCGCACTATTGACTTTCAATGATCTATTGTGCTTCCCCTTGGATTAGCCCTTTATTAATCGTACACTTTTAATAAGACGTAGGACCCTGCTTATAGGGGCGTCATAAAAGTCACTTGGTTCCATAAAAAACTGACCCAAGTGACGAAATCTTAAATAAGCTATGGTCTCACAATCATACAGGATGTGTGTGGCTGATTCGTTTTCTTGTACGCACCTTTCACAAGTTGGGTTATCTGGCAGTCCCAGCTTGGTACTCCAATAACTTTTCTCATAATAACTCTTGCTCCATGAAGTATCTTCACAATATTTCACATTACAAATTAGAAACTTTATAATTTATACTTACGCATAATACAGCGTTTCTTTAAAGAAAGTTAACACGCACCGGGAATTTGTACGATATATGAAGAAAACTATATAATACGGAGCGTCATAACTTATACTATTCGCAAAGTATAATTAGGATGATCAAGTCAAGGAGGATGAGATGGGCAGGGCATGTAGCACGCATGAAGGAGAAGAGGAATGCATGTAGGATATTGGTGGGAAAACCAAAAGGAAAGAGACCACTAGGAAGATCAAGACGTAGGTGGGTGGACAATATTAAAATGGATCTTAGATAGGATGGTGTGGTATGGACTGGATCGATCTGGCTCAGGATAGGGACCAGTGGAGGGCTCTTGTGAGCACGGTAATGAAACTTCGGGTTCCATAAAACTTTGAGAAGTTCTTGAGTAGCTGCACAATTGGTGGCATCTCAAGAAGGGCTCAGCTCCATGAATGGCTGATTCATAATATAAATATAATTAAGTTAAAGCTGTTAAGGGAATTAATCGATGATTATCCTGACAAGCATACGAAAACCATACCTATGTACATTGTGTAGGAAAAGCGCCGAGTTTTTTTATTCTTTAAGCAGAAGGTGCACAGAGCAACGACTGCAGTCGTGTGGGATGACAGTGACGTTTAAGCAGTAACAGAAGAAATCAATGGGACTTCGTACCACATTCCCAACAAGATGATACCTGAATGTCGTTGCCAACAATTTTATTTCTAAATTATCGAGACAATCTTCGGGGTTAGTAATACAGACTGCGACGAATCATATTCCTGACGTCACAGCAAGTAAACATCCTCTCAGACCCGAACCAGTTACCTCGACAA